GTGATCTATATTATAATATTCTGTTACTCATCAATGGGATTGTTTCTCTAATTTGATCAAAGCTGATTGATGAATACAGAGTGCTGTCCTTTTCTTTGCATACCCAAGCAAAGTAAGAATGGTGGTTGAAAAGCATCAATTTTAAAGTCACATTCCATATATCCCAAGCTCATTCACAATCCCGTCACTTTTCCATTCATAATTTACAAGACTTCATCTGGTCACAATTAATCTTCTTGATTAAATACCCAATGTGTGGTGTTTGACTAATGGCTCAAATATATAACTGAATGGTTAAAAATTGCTCTGATTGTGAGTTTTTAGGTAGTTGGTAATGAAACAGTTCAGAAATGTGAGTCATATAAATCTGGAACCAAGTCATTCACATTTTGAAAAACTCATTCATTGTGGTTGCTTTTGTGATCTCACTGATTGTGATGGGGGGTCAGAAATTCTACTCAAGCTTGATTTTATTTCAATGATCTAATTCTAGTGACACAATAACTTATGATTGCCAATCTTCATCAGCCGATGGTGATTGAAGTGGATGATCATGAGGAAGTTCACCCAAACTCATTGCAATCAAAGTGAGGCTCAATATAAAGCTCATGATGTCTCCACCAACCTTGGTTGTTTGAATCCTCACCCTCACTCTGGTCCAACCTCTAGGATGCCAATAGAAGGTTGAACTCAATTGAATGATCCTGGCCTTGATATTTGGTCATTAGACAGTGTGTATTGTAATAAGTGACTCAATATATGAGGACAACTTAACAGCTGAGAATCTTAATGAAAATGCAAAATGGTTGTGGTAATGATCAGTGCTACTCTGGATTTGAAAATTGAGAATAGTCGCCATCCAACCCTACATACCGCTGTGGCATGTATCTGTCTTTATTCAGCACCACTTGTACGTGGGTGTACACTGTTGGCATGGAGTGTTGCAAATATCCTCAAAAATCAAATCTTCACTCTTTCCATAGGCAATCAATGTAAACTGGAAGTTGGTGAATATTCACTAGTTGACAGGTTCTGTCATATGAATTTGTGGTACTGTGAGATTTGCAAGGATAGATACAAAAGGTACTGGGATATTATCTACCTGGACTGGGGTTGGTCTGGCAACAAAAACAGATCCAGACCCTGGGGAAGTTCCACATGTCAAGATAACTTTGAAACACAGGACCATAATAAATCCAACGGGTTGCAAATGTGGAGAAGCAAACAAATATGTATGTGCAGAGGCAACCCATTTGCGGAGGCATAGCTCACTATACCCTGTCACTGTGGGCAAAAGAAACTGCTGAAGTAGACAATGAGATTGAAGGAGGGTCTGTACAACATACAAAAAGACCGCTGGGTTTGTTGCCCGCTACATAATGATGTAATGGATTATGGGGCTTGTGGTGGTGCTAGGTTTCAACCCGTTTTGGGCAGAGGCATTGATAGGTTTCAGCTCTTTCCAGTAGACACATTCTTTGTTGCGCTTTCTTGAGTGCACACAGTGGTAAAGATTCTGTCCAAGGTTTTCAATCCAATGATACCTTGCATTTGCCAATCTGAGGCATCTATGTTGGCTGTGCCTCACATTGCTGGATTTAACCTCAGATCCTCAATCACAGGATGACCTCAACAAGACCAATGGACCTATAGATCTGGTAGTTTTAGACATTCCTTCAGAAGAGCACCCTGTATATTCTGTGGAAACTCCCTACAATATCTTAGGAAAGTTGGAACCCAATCCTAGAAAGGAACTCATTGCTCTATGTGGTTTGTTCAACTGCAAGCCTGATTCCACCTTTGAATTCCTGCTTCTGAAGTGCTAAGTGGTGACTTGGGGTCTTTGGGTGACAGTCCAAGTGTGATATTGGTTCTTGAAGAAATTGTGCTGTGCCAGGATGAGCGTTGAATATAAGTACACATTGGGGATTATCTCGGTGAATGAGGTAAATGAAATCAATGTACCAACTTGTGAATTCAATGCAGCAATGAGGTTGCCTTTTATCTCATTGCTGGGCTGTGCCTTCTTGGCTTTCTCTGGACAAACATTGGGGTTGGACTGGGTGACTTGCCACACAGATTTTTCAAGGAGGTGCCAGGTGCCCTGACTCACAACTATCCAGTCGTCACACAAGGAGGTTTTTGTGCTCCACTGTGCGTTTTGATTTTTGGTGTTGGGTGACCAGGAAGATGCCATCAGGGAGTAATCAATACCATAGCGGATCTTGAGGATCTTAAGCTGATGGATATTGCAACCCAGTTTCAAGTATGGAGTGATTGAAATATGAATGAGAAGGAATGTAGTCATACCTCATGATGCATCTGTTCAACCTCTTGGATTCCCTTGTTTTGGCAAGCTGTGGGTAGATGAGGGCCTAATTTAGCTTGTCCCAGATCTCTTACAACCTAATTGGTATCACCCATTTGTTTATAAATTGGTAAATATGTCTCATTTTTGTGGGTGGTGAGGGATTCTGATTGGGGTTCAGCTTGTGGCAATTCCCACCCACATGCCACATATCCAAGGGGAAAGAAAAGTTGATGATGGAAGATGTCCTTCTCATCAAAGTCATACAAGGACCATCTTTGGCCAAGAGTTTTGTTTTGTTCTTTTAAACCAGTTGATTGATTCCTGGGTGGCACTTTTGGATAGGTGGGGACACATTCGAATACATAAGCTGATGTTGAGTGAGAGTTGTGGTGACACATGTACTGACTTGGAGCACTGGTAGAACATACACTTGGTTTGCATGCTCAATTCATGTCTGGAAAGGTAGATGGGAAGAGGGATTCAGTGGGGAATCAAGTATGTTGTGGTGGAGGTGGGTAAGCATTCAACTGACAGGAACTCCTTAATCATCTGTTCACTACATTTTCCAACTAAAGCCAAAAGCTTCTTTGCACAGTGATAGATGAACTGAAGGTTCCTCAGTTGTTTTTGAACATCTGGTGGAATTTGGTTTTGCCTCTTATGGCCACTGGCATGGAGGTATGAGTCAATTATAGTGACATCCAGATCACTGTCTTGATAATGTTTGAGTGTGATGTTTATTTTGTGTTTCTTTTGGTGTTGACTGCGTGGGCTGGACATGGCTTTCTGGGGCAGTGTGGATTGGTTGGATGTTTCAGGAAGGGGACCTTTGGTGTCCTCTTCATCCTCCCAGTCTTCATCTCCTGGTTCAATTTGGTCAAATTTGTCAGCAACACCAGGTGATGACTCGTCATCAGAAGATGTTTGAACCCTGGCTTTCTTCTGAGGCTGGCAACAATTTGAGGTGTCAGTGACTTGGCGTGAGCTGCGTGTGCAATGGGTAGATTTTGGATTCTCAGGTGAGGTGCCACATTTGCAAGTACAAGTAGAACAAGTCATGATTTTTTGTGAAAACTTTTTTCTGAGGCTGTGCGGAGTGAGTGGTGTTCACATAGGGAGTATAGATGATGAAAGGGGTGGTAGCAAATTGATTCTTCTGTTTTGCTGTGTTCATGGGCTATGTAGTAACAACAAGGTCAGGTAAGGGGGTGGTTACGTAATTGGAATATGTAGTATAAGGTTAGGATTGTTGTAGGTATGGGGTTATGAGGGTTGATATGTAGTCATTGTGAAGTTTGTCTTGGGGGAATTGTGAGCTGGTGCTTGTAAGTTTTGTGTAGTAGCTATTACTTGTGCTGGTTGTCAACATGATGATCAGGCAAGAACCCTTGTTAAAATTGTACATGTGAGCATTGAAATGGATGTTGAGGTGCATTATGATGCTCCAGATGAAATATGAGGGCACTTGTAGAAGTGTCTTTGTGGTGTGGTGTGACTTGGACTTGGTAGTGAGGTTACTCCAGATACATGGAATGCATCTGAGTTGCATCCAAAGCCAAATAACAGAGCTGCTTGGACAATACACAGTACATTTTCTTTGGGGCTGGTCCAAACTTTTAGTGTACATGAGGTGTCTTGACAAGGCCTCAAGGGCAAAAGCCATGCTTGAGTCTGGCAAAGATGGTGTTGGCAAAAATGGAAATGATTGAGAATGGAAGAGTGATGTTGCAGGAAAAATCCAGACAATTAGCAAAATCATTACCATCTCTCAGTCCAGTTCTAGCACACTACCAACAAAGCTTTAAAGCATATGTCCCACTTCCCGTGTTTGATAAGCTATGTCTGATTCACAACCAACAAGCAAGAGAAGGTACAGAGCCACCTTTGGAGTTGAAGCTAACCAAAGGAGGCTCAAACCTACGGATGTACGGAGGAGCTTAACATGCAATGCAAGCAATGGATAGATTGCTTCACCTTGTTCTCTCAGTACATCTTTGACGCGGGCTGGATTACGTTATCGGAGAACTTGAAAGCCCTCAAGGAGATTGTGATTGAGCTCAGAGATACTATGGGGTGGATGGTTGTGGTGACCAGCTTGCTACACCAGCCTGCATTTGTCCAGTTGGTGTTGCCTGTAGAATTTTCATACCTCAACTCTGCAAATTATTGGTTTTTACAGCCACCAATTGTTCATTAGCATTTTCACTAGCAATATTGCTCCTTGCATGTTGCTTGGATGATTAATCAGAATCCATGTAGCCTTCATCCTTTAGAGGTCTGCAATGTGGCCTTGTTTTGGGAATAATTGCAAGTCCTGATAACATAGATTTTGAAGATAATCTCTGCACCAAAGACCTGAGCGCTTCTGTGAAGTGGAATTATGATGAACCAAAGCTCTTTGGACCTCTCAGATAAGGGAACACATAATGCAGCAACAACCAGATTGATGACAGCAGTACAGATGAGAATGTAATGATTGGGGAGAAATTTCTTGTAGAAAGGCAACAAAAGGGATGCAAAGTATGCCAACATTTTATCTCCAAATCTCATTAGTACAATTGAGTGAGGCATATCAATCAAGGTATTCAGGGATCACCCAAAAATGCCATACTGACCTCATTCCATCAAGTATATCCTCCTCCTCCTGATATGCATCTTTTGTTAGCCAGTTGTAGTTAGATGGCCTCTTTTATACTATGGTGCAACAGGGCACCCCACAACCCCCATGGCAGGGATCATCATCACAATGTATACAACATCCATCCCCCTCATGTTCTCGATGTTGTCTAAAAGAGGAACCCTTGTCTCCATTCCCAATCACTTGTTTTTCTGATCCTTTGATCAAAGGTTTGATCAACTCATATCCACCACAAGTTTGGATAGGTACAGGTTGAACAATTGCTGAGGGGGTGCAGATAAGCACAATTCTTGCAATGAGGAAGACAGTATTCATTGTATTTGACCTGAATTTTACATTCAAGTTAGTCAAGATATACAAATGTGGAGGAAGATTCCCAAGGAGCCATAGAAGTGCTCAAGGGCAAGTCACATGCAACAAAGAAACTGTGTGTGTCTTAGCTATTTGGGTTGTCTATGACCAAAGAGCAACCTTGTCTAAATGAATCTATCAGACTAATAAGATAAAAGAGATATAGTAATCATTAATTGAGGTTATTTTGGATACTGCAGTAATAAGAATACTGGCATACCACTGATTTTCAAGGTGCAGGAAGAATCCAACATATGGATGGATGAGGAGGGAATTACATGTAAATTGTTTGGCTTTTATACCCATCAGACAAATATAAGCTTGGTGTTGCCTATATTCCAAAATAGCTGTGGCCCTCTGTTATCCATAGCATAGCACCATATATCTCCACACCTTCAACCATGTTTCACAACAGTCACAGATAACTTTCTTCACATACAAGCACTGCCTTGGCGCAATTTGAAACTTGTGCCTGGAAGTTGAACTGCATTCCACAGTTTTGAGGTCAAATGTAGTTTTCAAAGGGACACACAGAGAGGGCTGGAATAAGTTAATTCTTGCAGAGACTGATCATGTTCACACAACACCATTATATACCATGTTCCAACAACCCTTGTCCATGAAAAGTGTCATATATGTGGAGAATAACTCAACACCTATCTTGTCAGCATATTAGATGTCACCTCCCTCATTTCAATTCAAAACATCATCTTTGTGGATATGTGTGGAGAAGTGTCTACCACTTTAGGTTCACCACTGTGCACTTGTGTTTTTTTGACCCCCTACCTCCAAAAATCATGATTGGGGGTCTGTTTCAGGGCTTGCACAATTGGGGGACCATTGCAGATGCTCTAAACGTTTTGTAAGATTGTACCTTGATGTTAAGCCTTGACAAAGCACCAAAGGTTGCGTATTGCGGATCAAACTTAACCAAGTCCCTTGGTAAGCTCAAGCCACTCAAACAAGGGACTTAAACACTATCTTGTTTTTTTGATGTGAGATTGGCCGGGGCTTTTTGCCCAATACTGGTCTCCTTATGAAACCTTTTTTAAGATTTCAACATTGCTCCTTTCTCATAATAAAAAACATGCACATAAATTGTCTGTACAGCCTCAAACTCCCAGCTTTGAGATGTATTGTGTGCTTCCCAGGAAATCATTGAGGGTCAAAGTCAAGATTCACAGTAATTTTGATCGGTCCGTGCCTGGAGTTTCATTTTGGTTTACAGTCCACAACAACAACTTTCAACTCATCTCCAGATCAAAAAAAGGTATCAGGATTGTGACGGGGGAGTTTGAAGAGGAGATACAGGTGCATGGTGTTTATTATGGGGACGGAGACATGTTGAAATTATAAAAAAATGTTTTATAAGGAGACCATGTTTTGGCAAAAAGCCCCAGCCAATCTCACGCCAAAAAAAAGATATTGTCCAAGTCCCTCGTTTGAGCAGCTCGAGCTTAAGAAAGGACTTAGTTAAGTTCAATTGCGGATACAAAGGAAGCAACAATTGTGATCTTTTACAATCTTTGCACCCTTGAAAAAGTTGATTACAGCTCTTATATAGAGTTGACATCGGTAGTTTTTAGTGCATCTTTAAAATAAATAAAATAAAAAACAAGGAGGACGGCATTTTCTCTTGAAACAGCACATTTCTAAGAGAAGTTCCATGGCTTGGCAAGGAAGAATGAACAAACATCATGTTTCCCTTTCTATGCGGCTCAAGCTTAACGAGGGACTTAGTCAAGTTTGATTGCGGATACAAAGGAAGCAATGATTGTGATCTTTGGCCATCTTTGCACCCGTGCAAAAGTTGATTACAGCTCTGATGTAAAATCTACATTGGTATTTTCTAATGCAACTTTAAAATGAATAAATAAAAAAAACAAGGAGGACGACATTTCTTCTCGAAACAGCACTATGCACATTTCTAAGTGATCAAGAGGTTCCATGGCTTGGCAAGGAAAAAACTGCTGACTATAAACAAATATCATGTTTCCCATTCTATGTGGTGGTCATTGAGGTACGCTGTCAAAGAATTTTTTACCATTGATCAAAGAATCGCGCCCCTTTCAGCAAGTACAAGACGGATCTCGATGTGGCAGTAGTAAGTGAAAATTTCAAAAGTTACTTGTAGGATCAAGTGTGAGCTTCAGTTCAGAACTTTCCAGGAGGAGGGAGAGAACTTGAATGTTTACGATCCTCGGGACCAGAGAATGCTCCGCGATGTCAAGCGCCTTCATGAAGATGTGTGACATGCCTGGTAAGGAAGTTACCGCGGTTCATGTGCCAGAAGGCATGTTAAGTTGATGATTTAGGGGCAGCTGAGGGTGAGACTTGTAGCAGGAAGTGTAGTGTTGCTTGAAGTTCGGGGTGTGTCCTTTCCCCATTGATGTTGGATCTATTTTGTAAGTTCTTCTACATATGTTCTCATTGTAGAACTTCGATGAGAATGGTGCAATATGGTACAATCCTAGTGGACAGCGTCCTTGAGACTGAAACCCCACTTTACAGTGGGGGTCCGGGGGTTGTTCAAGTCCAATTTGGTATCGTGATGCTCCGGGAAAGATTTGAAAAAAGGTTGATCGCGTCATGTGTCAAACCCTGAATGGGGGGAAGCTCATTGGAATAATGATGAAGCGGAAAGCTAGGGCTAAGAGGCAACCGAGAAGCGTCTCATGGTAGAAAACAATCGAGAGTCATATTTTGAAACATCAACAAGTTTATATAGCTCGCATTTCTCAGCCACGCGCGAGGTGGTGTATATGACTGCGGTGACGGCTGTTTCCCGGATTTCGGGTATGAAGTTTTATATATATAGCAGCGACTTCTTGATTTGCTTTTTGTGTTTGTTGACCAACCTCGGAACGTATAAAGACTTGGTTGAATATTTTCAATTTTCCAAACGACCCATCAATCGATTCAAGACCTAGACTTTCAATAAAATGTCTTGCCCCACCTTAGCCACTTTCAAGCTACCCGAGATCCCGAATGAGCCCAACGTAATTATTTGTTCCTATCTTTCTTTGCATTTCCACGCCTAAAAACCAACGCAGACTGATCCAAGTTTCCTGTGATGAATGTGTGTGGCCACTAGCAACATTATGAGCCAGGAAGTTCATCTCGGGCTGCTCTCGAGGCTGCTGTACAAGAAATGAAGGCCGGGATGCCTTACAACGTGGGACCTATCATCAACGGAGTCGAGGTTAGAATCTCTGCCTGTGTTCTCGATCTCAATTATTCGCTCAACCCAAATGTCCTTCGCTTCAGATCAAGACCGGACCGACCACCAATCAAGTCCTTCCATACGATCATCAAACCGTGTTATGCAACTTTCACTCCGCCAGCCCAGAGTAAGCGACGTTCATTGGTTTGCGTCTGAGAAGTCAGGACAAGATCGATAAACTGATCAACAAACTCATTTTCCCCAGTTTGATCACCAAAGCCATCGAGGACTCTTTGATTGCCAAGAAGGCCTGGGAAGCTTTACCCTTCAATGACCGCTCGGCTATTTTCCTCAAGGCTGCCGATCTCCTTGCCTCACCCTTATGGAGGTACAAGATTATGGCGGCTACCATGCTGGGACAGGGAAAGAATGCCTGGCAAGCTGAGATCGATGCAGCAGCCGAGGTAAGCTCACTTTTCGTAGTCTTGGGCTCTGTGTTACGTTGCCACCACAAACCTTTGACAAACATTTTTGTAACCAGATGTGCGATTTTTTTCGATTCGGAGTCAAATATGCCGAAGATATGTATGCCCAGCAGCCACCCAAAAATTCCGCTGGAGTGTGGAAGTGAGTTATTTAGTCTTACCCATCAATCGACCAACAACAGCTGGCAACTAACGTGTAGCTTTGAAGCCGAGTGGAATACCGTCCGTTGGAAGGCTTTGTTTATGCTGTCTCACCTTTTAACTTCACTGCTATCGGTGGAAATCTTGCAGGCGCTCCAGCCCTTCTAGGAAATGTCGTACTTTGGAAACCATCACCTATGGCTGTGTATGCTAATTACTTAACTTACAAGCTTCTCGAAGAAGCAGGCTTACCCAAGGGAGTAATTCAATTCATCCCCGTATCTCCTGAACATGTTGAGCAAGCCTGCAATCAAGTAAGTCAATCAGAAATACTGGCCGAGCCATACGTTTCATTGAGTGATCCATAGTCAACATTCATCAGCTAATCAATTTTTGCTCCATAGATATTCCGAAGTCCGGATTTCGCATCGTTGCACTTCACCGGGTCCACGAAAATCTTCCGTAAACTCTGGTTAGATATTGCTCAAGGTGTCGCAGATGGCCAACTCCGATCTTACCCACGTGTGGTTGGTGAGACTGGTGGCAAGAACTTTCACTTGATCCATCCTTCCGCACCGGTTCGATCCGGCGTATTGCAATCCATCCGAGCAGGTTTCGAATACAGTGGACAGAAATGCAGTGCTCTTTCACGGTTGTATGTTCCTGAGAGCCTCTGGCCTGCCTTTTCAGAAACCCTTCTCGAAGAAGTTGCTAAGCACAAAGTTGGAAGTCCAGAAGAATGGGACTCATTTATGGGACCAGTCATCTCACAAGTATCATATGACAAGATCATGGGCCTCATCCAACAAGCAAAGGACTCTGGTGATAAGGTCCTGATTGGCGGTACTGGTAAGTACTTTGAACATGATCCTGGAGCTTCTCTACCCCATACTCATGCTTCTGCTCTTCGAACTAGGTGATGCGTCCAAGGGATTCTTTATTCAACCTACCGTGATCGTGACTCGTGACCCTCGCTCGATCACTATGACTGAAGAACTCTTCGGACCAGTCATTACCACTTACGTCTACCCTGACGCAGAGTTTGAGAAGACATGCGAGTTGATCGACTCGAGCTCGGCCTATGCGTTGACAGGCTCTATGTGAGTTTAGTATCTTGTCCTTCATCTAATCAAGTATCTAGACCTGATGAATTGGACTTCGTTTGGCACGTTCAGCTTTGCGGCTGATCGTCAAGCAGTCGTCTTGGCTTCCAACAAACTCAGACAAGCTGCTGGTAACTTTTACATCAACTCGAAATGTACTGGAGCTGTGGTCGGACAACGTAAGCTTAAATTCCGGGTAGCCTAATCAGTTCCCGCCAGCTCACATTTCTCTGTTCATCCTATAGAACCCTTTGGAGGATCACGAGGAAGTGGTACGAATGACAAAGCTGGAAGTATCAACCTCTTGTACAGATTTGTCAATGTAAGAAGTATCAAAGAAGAATTCCTTCCGTGAGTGCCGAAATCTCTTACTTCATCCATCTTTCTTGGTGGTACACGATACTCAAAGCTTCTCAACAAATTGTTTCGCAGGGTTACCGAAGCTCATTACCCATCCAACGTTCTATGAACGCAGAGATGTGAAATTCTGAGAAAAGGCTAAACACATATATGACCCTAATTACGACCGGCATCAAAGCTCGGCTGCGCGTACCTACGTCGAATCTGATTGAGGTTCTGGATGAATTTTGATTGTCAGGCAATCTCACATTTGTATCAAAAGAACATGAACCTTCATATGATATCATTACAAGTAACAGCGAGCACATGCTGACAAAAATTTGTGAAGACTTTGCATGTGCCATAAACTGTGTCTATTTACTGGCTCACTCCTGTATGACAATGTACCAGTCTGAAATGATGTCTTGAAGTCTTATGATGCTTGAGCAAACATCCAATGTGCCTTACACGCACGATTTTGAATGAAAGCAACCTGAGCCACAGTTGTTTCTGATAAACTCAAAGTACAGCTTGATGTGTAAGGAAAGACCTTTTTTTGTCAACCCTCCACGAACAAATGAGAAAATCCAAATTAAACTTGACGATATCAAATTTGATCACTAACCTGGTACCCTATTTACATCAACACGCACACTTTGACATGATCAAATATGAATTTTAGTGTTTCTGTCAATCTATCTCTCTATCTCTGTCTCTCTGTCTCTCTCTTTATCTCTTCCCTTCATCTTTCAAGAACCTTCATACTTAATTTAATCTCACTCACCTCACTCACTCACTCACTCACTCACTCAAAAAAAAGAATCTTAAAATAAATGAGAAAAACACTTTTAATTTTATTCAAAAACTAAACCGAACTAAACCAAACCAAACCAGAAAAAAAAAACAATCTTAAAAAACACAAAGAAAAATAAAAATAAAAAACAAAAAAACAAAAAGATGAAAAAGATGAAAAAGAAAAATGGAAAAAGAAACCAAAAAAGATTATATAAAAAAAATGTCAATACAGAAAATATGAGAAGAAGAAGAAGAAAAGAAAAAAAAAAAGGTTGAATCTCTTTCCTTTTCCTTTTTCTTGTCTTTTACACTTTCACATTTTTAAAAACTTTCAAAACTTTCAATCTCTTTAATCATCTTAAAGTTTCAAGTTCGATTTGAAGTTTCTTTGATGATGATATCCTGAATCCCAAAACGATTCAATTTTCAATTTTCTCTCTTTTCATTGATTTGAATATTTTTCTTTCTTTTGATTCAATGAGCCATAGATCTTCTAGAATGTGATCCAGTTGAGGTGACTTGTGTGACTGATGTAGGTGGTAAAGCTGTTGTTGTAGTACTTTGATTAGTTTGATAATTACTTGGATTCGAATACATCATTGAAGGATTATGATGTCCGATCATCGAAGATGAACCGATCACCGGTGTATTGTTTCGAATCACTGGTCCTCCAATCGATCCTGGATTAAAGATCCCATTTCCATTATTACCCTAAAGATTCAACCAATCAGAATTGAATATCTCATGAGTCTTTGGGGGTATCGAACCACTTGAAAAAACAGATTCACTTACATGTGATTGAGGAGGTCCAACAACCGGATACTGCATAGATTGATGATCAAATCCTTGTGGATGTGGAGGAGGAGGAGGTAGATATTGATGTTGATTTGTATTACCATTCACAAGATGACTAGAAGATCCAGTAAAACCAACAGAAGTATGTGGTGAAGAAGAGAACCCGGACTGAGGTGATAAACCATGATGGAATCCACCAGTTCCACCAACCATAGAAGATGATCCATGTGGGTTCGGTAGATGAAATCCATTAAACCCATTATTACTAGTAGTAGGCCCACCCCCATACCCTACATTGTTATCATGTAAGTTGTTCATAGGTTGTGGATAACCTGTCATACCTGTTGTTTGTGGTGCTTTACTGCCTCCTACATGGTTAGGTCCATTTCGACCTACAGTGGGTATGAAACTATGATTGTTTTCAACTGGTAGTCTACCAAGGTGTGGACTTTGCATCCCTGGGTTTGAGTTTCGGCCACCTGGTCCTGTTCCACGTGGTGCGATTGGACCAGGAGTTTTATTGAACCCCTGATTGTTCGATGACTGATGAGAATTATCTGAGAGTCCATTATGTGCTGCACCGTTGAACCCAGTCGGATGAATCGATGATGGATAATTAGTAGTGTTAAGAGGATAAGGTTGAGGTGATCGCCCATAGGCACCAGGTTGTTGAGCGCTCAAGGATGGAGACCATGGTCCGGGGGCTTGACCTGGGTATATAGTTGATATACCAGAATACGGACTCGCTGGAAGATTAGGGACTGTTCCAATCGGAACAAGTTGATAGCCTGGTGGCACCTGGAAAGTTGACGGTGAAGGAAAACTTCCCGGGTAACCTTGCATCACAGAACTCTGGGAATTGTTCTGACTGTTCAGATTACATCCATTAGTCTGATTGATGTATGAAGGCTGTCCGTGTCCGCTAGACGTAGATCGATCGTCAAGACCATTTGGACTAGGCTGAAGCTGAAGATTATGATTGGAACCGGGTTGGGTCGTAGGTCGCTCACTTACTGTAGGCGAGGAGATCTTCTTTGGAGGTAGGGATGAGATATATGGACTTGTACAAAACGTTGTTGATTCATCTTTCACGCTACTTCGTACCGACTCATCCTCAGCGTTGAAATCGTTCAAAGTCCGAGGTAATGCGGCCACAAAGTCATCCGGAATGCCTTCGAGTGAATTTTCAATCTTACCTGATGGAGGGGTCTTCGTAGTAATACGACCATCAGGCTGTGACCATACGTTCTTGGTATGTGAATCCAAAACTGAGAAGGCTAGTGGGGATTTAGTCCAAGGGGACGGCGATCCCTTTGACCCTGTGATGGAATGCATATTCGACGAAGGAGGCGTAAGGGAGACTGGGAGTGGGGACGAGCGATTACGAGGTGTCTGTAAAGAACCCAATATTAGAGCTATGGTACATAAACACATTCAAGACAAACGGCTTACCAATGGAATCGAAGCAGAGTCGTCAGGTGTGCTACATGGAGTTGATGGCTTGGGCTCTGGTTCCGACATAGTCAAGCCTGAAGGTTGTACTGCACCTTCCCCAATGATTTCACTGTTCACCATGAAGATACCAGACGCTGTGGTGGCAGCAGAGCTTGTGATATTAGACGGTCGATTGAATGCGACTTTGGAGCCTTCTGGGAGTTTTGATTTTTGTTTCCGAGCTGAGCTGACAATTGTTGGGGTAACCGGTTCGGGGCTCTTGTCAGCCGGGGAAAGAGGTGGCGTCGCTGGCGAAGGAGGCATTGCAGCTTTGACTTCAGGTTCCGGCTTTGCAACAGGGGCACTTTCTTCTACTGGCCTTCGCCACGACATTGTTACATCAGCTCGACCACGGCCTCTGCCGCGCAGGACAGGTTGTAGGGTACCTGAAGCCCGCCCTCGACCTCGCATGAATAAAGGACCACCCTCACGTTGTTGTTCATGTTCGACATCAGTTTGGGATTGAATTGATGATTTGGGCAAAACTACATTTGACATGACTACACCTCTAATAAACTTCTTTCTAAACAACAATTCATCTCTTGATAGGGTTCGAGGAGAGATATTTGGCAAAGGAGGATCCCAAGTGAGAATATTCACTCTTGCAGGCGTAAGTGGATTCCAGAAAGCCTTCAATAGGTGTGGTGATTGTTTTCGTTTTTGCCTTACAGGCCGTGCTAACTTTACAGTATATGCTTTCCAAGCGGGTTCGGGCGACATCGCTCGCTCTACTTTTGTGACGTCCCAGTGGGGGGTCGGATCTCGATCCACAAACGTCGGCGGACGTTTTAGAACAGGCCGAACCAGTGAAGCTGAACTGAGATGATTTGGCCTTGAATCGGGGCGCACATGCTGCTCTTGAGGTGACAAATCAAACCTTGCAGCCTTGCGAATCGACGTGGATCTCTTCTCAGCGGGGTTAGAGAGAGCTGATGGAAGATGAGGAACCGATGGGGTAGAGATCGGGTTCTGCGCTGTCGGCTCGGAAGATTTGTTAATGACAGCTGATGCAGATGGAAGGCTAGTAACAGATGGCTTGAATGCTGATGTGAGAGGCTTGGAAAGTTGGCGATCAACACTCTGCGAATTAGACCCAGAATCGTCAGGACTTGGTATATCTGTTGCACTAGAAATCGAGGGCTTGGTACAGGTATCGGCCCTTGACGCAAGACTAGGCTTAACTTCCGTTCTGGTCACGGAAGTAGCTGTCGGAGTTGATTTCTGCATGACTCGTGTTGTTGATGGTTCTACAACAGGAAGGGTGGCTGCTGCCTGAGCTTTTGCTTTCGCTCTAGCTTCTTTATCGGCTTCCAGGACGCCCTTGATTCGAGACATGACAGTATCGAGATGTGACATTTCAGGTAGCTTGGGTTTTTTGTCCTGTAAGTTTGCACGTGATGGTCCAGGCGCAGAAATTGGCGGTCTGGAATCTCGCAAGCTCGGTGATTGAGATGACGTAGAAGGCTTGGGTGGCATTTCGGATGACAGCTCTATACTGGAAACCGGTATAGGAGGTATCAATCTGTTGACTTTTGCATCATCCTCACCTTGATTGACTTGAGTGGATGGATTGGAGCCTTGTCGCATGTGCGGAGGCCGCTGCCGTGGATCTGAGGAGCTGATTACCTTGTCAATAGTTGAGTGAGGCTGTCTCCAACTTGTAGGTGTGCCATCGGTAGATCTTTTAGTCGTATCGGTTTGGCCAGGGGCGGATGTAGGATTAGATGAAGAAAGTAAGGAAGAAGGCTTTGCGGCAAGGCGGGATGGCCGTTGAGAAGATAAAGCCAGGTTGATCTGCGACTCCCATGATGAGACACGAGATGACTTGTCGTCCCGATTTTTGAAAGCTTCTTCCTGAGGTGGTAAGGATGATGAAGGCCGGTTTGGTGGGACAGATGCACTTGATGTTGACTCTGTCTTGGCGCTGTAGCGCTCGCTGGGCCTTGAGGGTTGCGAGGTAATGTCTTCAGGTGGTGGAGGAGGACGGCTCAAGATCGGCCGGCCAATTGAATTATTTGAAGGAGGTTCGTTCGTAACGGCTGTCGCCGAACGTCTTGGCGGGAGCAGAGTCCTCTCAACAGGCCTCGCACGCCATGAGTCAACATCCTTACGATCCACTGGGGCCAATCTACCAGGAGTACGACTAGTCCCTTCATTGGAATGGTCTCGTTTAAAGGAGCCAGAGGCCGATGTACTGTGCGCCTGAGATGATGCTATGGTAGATGCTGCAGCCGCAGCCGCAGCCGCTTTCAATTTGTTCTCGATCTCCATGGCTTTCTGCTTGGCTCGTTGACTTTCTGCTTCGCGAGTAGCTTCCTCTTCTTGACGACGTTTGCGAGCTCGTTCTGCGGCTGACATCATTTCGGTCCGATGTATCTCATCTAAATCAGGGCATGGGGGATTTGAAAATTTCGCCCGTGTCTCTGAATCTGAAGACTTGCGTGTAGTTGAGGGAAGGGCGGATGATTCGGCACGAACAGATGTCGAGGGGTTGGGTGGGACGAGAGCTTGTGAAAGCATGGTACGGGTTGGGGTGTCTCGTGATTTGTCAGGTGGAGAGAGTGCACGGTCTCGTACCAGATCAGATGATGGCCGTGTGGATGGAGCGTGGTTTGATGTGTGACTGCCTTGTTGGGAATAAGAGGTATTGGCAGGAGATGGATCACCAGACAAATCGCGTTGTCGTTGTAAGACTTGAACTTGTGAAGTAGGATCCTTGACTTTGTCCAGTGTTTTAGCCGAATAAGGTTCAAACTTGCCTAACCTATCGTTAAAGAGGCTCTTGAGTTCAGCTCGACCACGAAGGAAGGGAGGTAGATGTTCAGTCCCTTCCATGAGTTGACTTGAACGATCGTAATCTTCAGTAAAGCGATCCTCCTTTTTGAGAGATTGTGAAGGATTGGGCGTAGGTTTGGTATCGGTTGACGATTGTTTATTGATGTCACTTGCTGCGGCCGCAACTTCCGTCACTTTGTATTGAGTCCCATCTCCAAATTCGACAACTTCACCAAACATATCATCCTCATCCTCCATCTATGTAAGATTGTGTGGTGATGGACCGAGTGAGTGATAGGATGATTCAAGAGACAAAGAAGGTCAGAAATTGATGAATGATAGATGATAGAGATACTCTAAACCTACCTCATCCCAATGACTCGCGTTCGGATCGAGATGTGTACCACGAAAGCCATCCAAAGTCTGAAGAAGTTGTTGATTATATGCTGCTGATGCTGCTGCACGATCCAGTGATGCTTTATCTCGTGCAGCATTGGCAGCTGCTACAGACTGAGCTTTGAGCTTGTGCTCTAAAAATCCAAATTTCAATGTCAAAATCACAATTTGATGCTCTTTGTCTTGCAGCCTGACTGATCACACTGTAAAATCCCGAGGCCGTAAAAGATCAACATAAGAGCAAGACTCACGATTGGCTACCTCCTGGGCTGTTGGAAAATCATTGGCGAGATTATCTATACCGTTTGGTGTCGGATTCTCAAATTTACCCCAGGGCGATGCTGATGACATTGAATGGGATACCTTGGGAGTTGTTACGGAAGGTTGTTGGTTGGAGTTTTGAATGAAACCGTTGAATCCAGGTCTTGAGCCCACAGTGCTTGCGGAATCATCCTTGACGAGTGGTGTTGAACTTGGTGATTTTCCAACTGGAATACTAGAAAGATTCGGTTCAGGTGACTTTCCACCTAGAGCAAGAGGAGGGACAACAAGCGGTGTGCGGGCCCATCCTGTAGTGGCTGAACCTGAGGGATTGAGGATTGTAGAATTTGCAGTAATCTTTCCAGTCAAAAGTCGTGGACCAGTACCAAGAGGGCTTGAATTGTTGGATGGAGAGAGAGTTGAGAGTCGTGCTATCAATGCAGAAAAAGTAGATCAAGTTTGAAACAATTCAACAAGATTGGAATCTAGATGCGAAGATTCAGTTGATAATGAGATCAAACCATAAACTTACGACTAGAAATCAAGGAATTCTTAGTAGATTTCGAATCGGAAGTTGTACTCAAGAATTTCTTGTTAACGCTCAGAGACGAAGCCTTGAATTTCTTGGTACTGGGTAAAAGACTAGAAGAAGATATCTGAGAAGTAGTAGCTATCGGATTATCAGATTTAAGATTGATTGAATGATCAGGTTGATTGGATGTAATAGGTTGATTATCTTGATCAGGTTGATTGGAAGTGATAGGTTGAGATGAAGCAGTAAGATTGATGGTATTCTCGATTTGATCTTGATTTTGAATAGTTTGATTAGTTGAGATTGGTAAAGAGGAACTGATTACTGAATCTGAATTTGATTGAATGTTCTCTGATTCATCTTCCTTTGCGGCCATAGTGAAGTGAAGTAAAGTAAAGTGAAGTGATGGTTTCTAGTTTTCCTTTTCTTCTTCTTCTTCTTCTTCTTCAAGAAGTTCAAAATTAGAAAATCACAATTCACCCAAAATCAAAATCAAAACACAGTTTATACTTAAGAATACATACCTTAAGCTACTTGTCAAAATTAAAACTAAAACTACATATCAAACCATTCTGCATTTTTAAAAACTCGGTTTATCATTTCACTTCATCTCCAATCCATCTTCATCTTATTCCCACAATATCAATCCAAGGTATTACTTTTGCTAAAAAGCTTGGCCCAATCGAGAAAAAATAAAACAGAATCAGACCCAGATTTCGCCGCAGCAGTCACAACGCAGCAGAGAGAAAGATTTTGGGGGTGCTGTTGGCTCTGGTGCGAGCTCCCAGTCATATCCTTCAAATCCCTGTCCCTGTTGATTACTTTGTTTTCATCACTAAACTCAACTCAGTCGCTCGCTGCTTCTCACATCCTGGAAACGTGTTTATCAATCGTGGCCAACCCATTGCTGATCTGTAGGAAAAAGGTACACTTTTTTTACTTCAATTCCTCCCATTTGTCTCCTCAGTGCAATTAATTGAACTTACTGATGATCCCCAATATCATTTCTAGGTATCCTTCTACAATGCATACCACCATACTTTCCCAAGTTGAACCCTATCGATTTTGGATTCAATGTGTCAAAGTTTGTTGTCTCGAGATCACAAGTTTTAGTTACGAGGTCAAATCCAGTCAAACGGAATTTTGTATCATCATTGTGGTTTTCAGATATTTGAAGGGGAGCTCGTTTGTTTGTATTAGATGAATTGTAGTTAGAGAAGATTGTCATCGTATAAAAATTAGAAACAAGGAATTATAGATAAGATTGGCGTGAAACTGAAATCGTTTCAATCTTCTTCAAAGGATCACAATCAAAGCGATCGATTTTGATCTTGTTTGTGAAATCAGTCTCTAGATTACACAAGAGAGCTGAGATTTTTCACAATCTTTTCTGTAGGAGCATAGGAAGGTTGATTGGTTTTGACCGAGCAAAATCAATTGATTCTTGGATGTGGAATGTCTTCAAAAAAATGAGATCGTTGTTAATCTTGACTTCAAACCCGATGAGATCTTAGGTTTTATTTCATAAGAGATTTGAGATTGTTCTCAAGTTGCGATCATAGGATTGCCTTGTAGGAGAATCAATCAGGAATTGATTGGTTTTGATATTGGTCATAACCAGTCGATGTTTCTGATGATCTTGCTTACCTTGAAAAGTCACTCACATTTGAGATATCTTTCATGAGATATCCAATTGTTATTCAGCATAGCTTGGCACCGGACAAGTTGAGGATATTAGGATACATCTCATTCAACTTGGCTTTTCTCTCACATTAGCACAGCAGTTGTGAGCTCCGTAAAAACTTCATCATCATTTCTTTTTTTGATTTGTTAACAAATGCTCGTTATGATCAATCCAACAATTCAAAACCTTCTTGAAAGAGTGTGGGAAGAAAGAGCTGGTGAGGTGATGGTGAGACAAAGCTAGGCAAGACGATCACGGATATCAGACTGTGTTGTGAGGATGGTCATCTGAATCGAACAATACAAAAAGTTTGTTAGAAAGTACACCAATAGATAATAAAGAAGAGATATATTTTAATGTAACTTGTAAAGTGACTTACCAAGAGTTTGACAACGTCATCTTGCAAGAGTGTGCAAAGAAAGAGGTCAAGGTGATGGGGAACTAGAGCCTAGAGATGGGTGATGGACCAGCAGAATGGTAGGGAGGTCGCACCAGAGCCGACAGGACCAGACAGCACCCCCCAAATCCTTCTCTCTGCTGCGTTGTGACTGCTGCGGCAAAATCTGGGTCTGATTCTGTTTTATTTTTTCTCGATCGGACCAAGCTTTTTAGCAAAAGTAATATCATATCAACCAATTCAAAAAACAACAATCATACATATCATGATCAACAATCGAGCCTCACTTCATATCCATTTGTTTGTTACTTTTATTGAAAACCTCTTGACATCTCCCAGCCTTTGCAACAGAAATATGTAGCATTAAGACCGCATACGCTTTTGTTTCTTGAATCAAAACAAAGGGAACAACTCTTTTTAAGGGTTGGAAGAGCTTCTGTTAAATAAAGGATAGGTAACTTTGAAAGTGCTTGGTAAAGACAAACTGTCCAAGATGAAATGATCTGACTTCCCCAAAAACACGGTTCAAGGCATGAGCTTACTTCTAGCATAAGCTTGATCAGAGAAGTTAGGTGAACACTCTAACTGAAGTAACATCAATTTCTCTCAAACAGAACTTTTGAAAAAACTTATCGGAATATCAAGATTTTCAATATAGCTTTTCTTTAGTCCATTCTTCTACATATATACCTTGTAGCTCAATCAAACCAAAAGGTGCCACTTTGGCATCAGATAGGTATTGGACAATCTGCAACATGACAATAGTAAGCTTAACCATGAACTGGTGAAATATCATGGAACAATAATGTGGTTCAAGTTGACCCAAAAGTTTCAAAAAGTTCATCATGTACACCACGGGGCGACTTTGAACTGGGACCACATGAAATGTCAGTTGGGTATGACCACACTGAGTGGTTGTGTAGAACAGGTGGTAGCAGTGTGAGTGCGGCTATGTGGCCTTCACCCATGGCCTGTCACGTATCTTACATGTGGAGAGAAAGACCACGTTGGTGTGGCGTGACTTACTAGCCAATGAGTGGGTGAGCTGGGTCATACGAGCGCAACCTGCCAGCCAGGTGCTCAGCATGCAAATGAGCTCATCCAAGCTCACATCGAGTGCTGATCATGTGGCTATTCTCCTTTGAAAAGCATCCACTTCTTGACAAAATCAAAAGGACTTGTCCACAAATAAATTTACTTTGAAGCCCGCCCTTTTGAAAATCAGGCTGTACCACATCTTGGTGTCATTCTCAAAACCAAGATTTGGGTAAAGGTATGATGATCACTGTCAAGTCTGACATCACAGGTACGGTACATGTCACAGGAACCACAGTCAAAGAACCACAGTCATTCACAGTCCTCTTTGTTCATCGTCTTTCATCATCCGACTCCTGAACTTTAAACTATAAAAATTCTACTAAATTTTCTACACCACGGGGGCGTCCTGACCGCCAAAAGGTCATCCTCGCTGGCCACCACCAGGCGGTCGCTCTGTGCGGAGTGACTGACCACCAGCAGGTAGTCAGTTTGGCGACGACCAATTGGCGAACTGTAAGGTGCTTGAAAGATCAGCGGGGAGGCGCCTTACAGCTCGCCAAAAGTGCAGGCGTGCGCGGCCTGCAGGTGGCCTGCAGGCCATCAATTCAGTCGGGGCAATAAACGTGTTGGACCGTTTGGATTGGAATTGGGCGGGGCAGGGACCGCTCTGATTCAAAAATGGGTAATAACGTAATGCACAATGCATTACTAGGCGGTGGCATGTCAAGGGTGCAGCTATCGGAAGAAAAGCTTGTATTGATGAGGTCACAAATAACAAGGTTGATTGGAAGAAATACGTCAAAACACTTTAAATGAACATCAGATTTTCTTCGATTGGTGTGTTGGATCCTGTTAATATGACAAAGTAGCAACTTTCATGACCAGACCGAACAGGAATGAGATGAAAAAGAAAAGAAAAAGTTTAGTCGCAACAATTTCATTCGAACTCTTCTTCAATTCCTTCAATTCCCCCAGCTTCAATCCTGGCCATCTCATCTTGTATGGCCTCCTTGCAAGGCAGATCAAAAGTCACCCGAGGTTTGAATGCGGTGAAGAGGCCTTTGCCACGAAAGTTCTTCCGATCCTCATGGTATACCAGTCTATAAAAGCTGCAATTTGAAACGGTGATGAGCTGGATGAGATAAAGCAACAAAGAGAACAGACAAACAAACTGAGACTCACCAAATATGCGACCTGTCACCGATGTAAATCTTTGGTTTTAATCCATAGCGTCTCAATATCACGGTTATCCTCCTCTTCCGCACAATTATTCGCAATCCACCAGGATACGAGACCAAAACGGCCAAGGACAGATGAAGAGAATAGGCTGGCTTACCCCTAGGACGTTATTACATATCATGGAACCGGCATGAGGGCTACTTCCTTCATGGTGACCTGTCAGACCAATATCAACAAAGCGGCCTGGATGTGTAAGAGACAGAGATGACAACTTGCCTGATGATTCACCAAGGTTTGGGCGACTTGTGGCCCCTTGGACGGCGCGTTGCGACAAAGAGGCCTCGCGATGGGCCAAGAGTGTGCTCGACATCCTGTCGATTCGGCCTATGGGATAGAATAGATGAATCATCTTTTCCTCAATGAGACGTGAAAAGGAAGAGCTGACCCATCGACGGAGTGGATAAACCATTAGCTCCCCCGCGTGTGTTTGTTGCGATGACATGAAGTGGAGATGTTGAAAACTGATGTGAAATTGAGAATGGAAAGATAATCTGATGATTCGAAGTTGAGGATGAACTTTGAGACAAGAAACAGGAGGACCGCAATTTTAACTCAGGTGAGGATGAAGTTTCAAACGAGAGACAGAAGGTCCGCAGGTTTAACTCGAGCGCTCATGCGAGAAGCAAAAGAGACCCAGGGGTGACAACGCGACACGAGAAAAGTTTTAACGCAGGGATGAAGGCCACCATGCAGCCTCTGATGGGAGACAAGAAACCCAACACGATATGTGCAACCTGGGCTGAGCCTTGAGGGTTGGGAGTCGAAACGATAAAGCAGGATAAACAAACGCAATGCAATGGTACACAAGAAACATCTCAGAAGACATCTAAAACACAGTTTGAGCCTTGAGGGTTGGGAAGTTGATACAATTAACCTCCATAGACCCAAACAAAATGGGAGGGGAGGATCTCAACACGTGCTGAGATTTGGGTGGTTGAGAGAGGCATGGTTGTGATGTTTGCTTGCATCGGTCCTGTCATCCACGCAGACTGATCGAAGGGCTGAGCTCAGCAGGCGAAGTCTGCCTCATCCTTGCGCTTACTTCGCTCAGCCGTGACTTTTGGGAAGGTGCCGCCCAATTTCACGCTTGACCAAACAGGGACCAAGCAGGCGGTCTATAGGCCCGCAGAGGGCGTCTACAAGTCACGCTGCTGGCCGCTCTGGACTGAAAGAGGGGCGGCCCGCGAAGGCCAGCCCTGGGTGGCCTGCAGTCTAGCCAGGGGCGAGTTTCGGGTCGGAATCTGACCTGACGTATTTAAGACCGGTTGGGACCAACTTCTGACCCAGGATCCCCCCGTGGTGTACTAAAAAAAGTATTTGAATATCTCTAAAACTGTTGAAATGCCAAAATTAATGCACTACTGTAACAAATTTCACAGGTAGAACTTTCACACACACAAATTTCACGCGACAGACTCTTGACTCTTGAATTAAATAAAAAAGATAACACTATTACCCTTATAAGGGTTTAAGAGAGAAAAAACTCAATAACACTTTAAAATAACACTAACAAAAAGACTCAAAGATCGACACACACCCTCCTGGACCCCTTCTTCAACTCTTCAACTCACTCTTCTTATACCTTCCACCTCAATCTCAACCTTGTATTTCCTCTTATTCCAATCCTTCAAATCTGATCGATTGCGTCACTCAATCTTGGATCGATCCTGTTCTATCTTTGCATCTAACGTAAGTCCTTTCTATTTTCTAACTCTTTTGATTATTCAATCCTAATCCATCATTTCATACACTTATTGGTTCTTTTTTATTCTTCTTTCATCTTCAAATATTGATTCTAATGTTCTTTTAGCTTTCAGATCAATCGATTTTGAAATCCAATTTGTAAGTTCTTTGTTTGTTTTTCTTCTTTTAGTTTGATCATTCATATACTAACTAATCACTTGTTCTTCTTCTATCTTCTAATTTGAATTCTAGCTTTCCTAAATTGATAAATCGATCTGATTTCAAAGTTCAATCTGTAGGTTCTTCAATTTTCTTTCAATTCAAGTCTTTCATAGACTAAGTGATCATTTAATCTTCTTTTATCTTTTTATGTGTCTTCTTTGATTCTTTAGCTTCTTCTCTTACTTTCTTTTGATCGATTCAAGTCTAAGTTCAAATTTGTAAGTTCTTCTTTTTTTATTATATCTTCTTTCTTTTAGTTCGATCTATCTATAAACTAATTAATCATTTGTTCTTCTTTCCTCATTTGAAATCTAGGTTTGTATTCTTTATTTTTTTAGATCGATCGATTTCATACTAACTTGTTGATTTTCTTGATTATTTGTTTTTTGATTTTGAATCTCATCATGTTGTTATCTATCATCTTGAATTGAATGTAATAAAGACTAATGTTTATGCAAATTGTGAAATAAATAAGTTATAATGAATATGATTAATAGAGAATCTTGAACTGAGAATTGTAAATTGCAATTAAATTGATTTTAATAGATCTTCCAATGAAATCGACTCTGAATTTTAAAGGAACACATTAAAGAATAAATAAAAAATTGTTTCTTAGAGTGAGATCTAAATTGATTTCCACACCACTCATTGGATTAGTCATTTCACACTGTTATGATGTGAGATGACTCACCCAATGGACAGGTGAGCCACCACGCTTTAGCTGCTCACCCTGGCTGTCATGTGTAGCTCACAATGGGTATCGCACTGTGGACAGCGCGTGATTTATTGGCAGAGAACTATTTCACGTGAATCTCACGTGCCAGCTGCCCCGTGGTGTAAATTTAAGCTGGCCTATATACCAGCCTCCTTTGAAAAATGTGGGAAAAAAATCACTCAGGAATCTGTTTCTCAGGTAAATCTTTTTCAGATGCTTTTAAAAATATAAAAATTCAAAGCAACATTTTTTACATCTAGTGAAGTTTCTATTCTGAGCATTTTTTTCAACTTCTGCCCCTCTAATATGACCATGATCATCATGATCAGATCTTGATTGAACTCACTTGACGTAATATCACAGAGCTTTGAAGATTCCTCAAGTTAGACCAATGTATTGAAGCTTAACTCACACAATCTTACCGCTTTATTGCAATGATTCAGATTTCAGATTTCTGAAATAAAGACCAACTGTGTACTTTGTTATCATCCAAGCTCTTGTTGAACAGGATTCACCACAAAAGTTGGTCTCTATTTCAATTCATAAAATCCATATATATACAAGGTATTCTTGGAATTATTAAGAAAAAAGTTGATCTTTATCTTATTGCACTAACCCGTGGCTTTTTGAAGTGGAACACTTGGATCCTTGTTGAAGCTGAGGATTTGTCAAAATCCTCTTATAGGATTCCAAATGCTTGCTATTCAGATTTTATCATGCTGATGAATTTGTTGTCACATGATCTTACCAAATTCTTTAAATTGATGGGCTTAGGGCTGCATAACACCTTCATACTAATTCCAAAGTGCACATGATGGATTGTGAACCGCTGTGCTGTGTTGTTTGCATTCAACATAGGAGACAACATTCTGTATGTTTTTTTGTTCTGCTGTAAATATAAAAACAAAGAAATTGGCCAAAGTGGTTCGACAAGAAAATCTGATGAGGAATTCTGACCAAGCATCTATACGCAAGAAATGAGCAAGAAAGAAAAGTGATTCTACCTATGTAAAAACACAAGAACACTCGCAAACCTGTTACCTCGGTAGCGTTGCAGTAACGTCGCCTGCCGTCGATTTCGTGAACCTGTCTCATTCTGTGACATCTTGATACTGGGGTGCCCCGAAGTGCGCCGCTTTACTTACAACCACCAGGCTGCAGCATTCATAAACCTCTTCCAAGATAGATCGTGTTCAGCTTCTTTGATTTTCTCAACTCAAGTCAATTCAAACTTCATTCATCGATCCACTAAAATGGCCACTGGACGAGCATTCACAAGACTGGTCGTGGGTGGTTCCCAAAACGTTTTGCGCTCCTCTTCTGCCGCCACCCTGGCCATTCGATCTCGATGCTTTACAACCACTGCTGTGTCTCGACTAGGAGATCCACCTCGTGAGAATTTATTCGATCACGCTTTCAAAATACCTACGAAAGAATACATGATGGTTGACTTTGAAGAATATCACTATTTTCAGCAATGGGATCTTCACCCTTTCAGGAATCGGCTGGACAGAACCCAGCTGAGAAATACAAACTGATCTCGTGAGTGATCCATTCAGATGACGATCAAAGGCTTTAAGACTAGGATATATGTAGTCAAAAGAAGATGTATTAATAAGCTTGATGGTTTTGGATTTTGATTTAATGCGAATAGGGACTCGTTGCACGATTATGGGACTTATTTGACCTCCTGCATTCCCAAATTTATTCAACAATTCAGCGTAAGTGGCTCCTTCTGATGTGCTCCGGCTATGAGCTTGGGCCAAAAGTACGCATTTCTTGGTTCGGTTTGCGTCTCACAGGTTTACAAGGATGAACTCACCCTTTACACAAGTCCCGATGGCATCGTACCTGTCCTGGGTTTCCTACGAGACCACACTCAATGTCAATACAAGCAATTGATGGACATCAGCGGTGCTGATTACCCTACTCGTCCGAAACGTTTTGAAATTGTTTACCATCTCTTGAGTCTCAAATACGCTTCACGAATCCGTGTCAAGACTTATGCAGACGAAGTGAGCCCCGTACCGAGTGCAACAGGACTCTTCAGAAGTGCTGACTGGTGAGTTCGCGCCCCAAGTGCATCTGGACATTTTCTTGAAAACAGTGACCCATTCAGGTTGATGTTGATGGCTATATTTGGCTAGGTATGAAAGAGAAGTCTACGACATGTATGGCGTCTTCTTTCAAAACCATCCCGACCTTCGTCGAATTCTTACCGATTATGGATTCGAGGGATATCCTCTACGGAAAGATTTCCCATTAACCGTGAGTGTGATCAAAAGATGTATAGCCTCTTGTGTCTTGATGGCCAACGTTGGTTTCTCCGTCTGTGTCTTTGGCCTCATAGGGTTACACCGAGGTGAGATATGATGAGGAGAAGAAGCGAGTGGTATAGTACGTCACTCTGCATTGCCTTTGAAAAGGCTGGATAATTTAGCTCATCTTATCTTGATGGATTGGGAAAATTCAGTGAGCCATTGCAGCTATCCCAAGCGTTTCGTAACTTCGAGGGCGCCAACTCGCCCTGGGAACAAACTGGTCAAGGGCAAGATGTGCAGCCTGAAACATTCAAGCTGCCTGTGTAAGTTCCTCTATAAAATTCAAACCATCTCCATGATGTATAGCACTTTTTGACTCGTCTTTTGAATATCGTGCATCAGATCTGAACCACCCAAAAAGTCGGATGCTTGATGGTATAATCTGGTAAATTGCTAGAAAGCGACCCCGGCCATCACAACCCACGCACTTCCTCAAGTCGTCACCATGCCGCGAATCAATTGATGTTCAGACGTGGCATGTGTGAAAGTTGTTCTATTGTATCATGCTTGAAGCTTAAATATAAAAAATTGCTTCCTTGTTTCCTCTCTGAGAAGAATATTCTATCAGTGTCAAAGTCACATGATTTCCAGCTGTCTTATCACTTTGTGATGACTCTGGAATGCCTAGTTGTAGTGATGTGTACACTGATGTATGTAATTGAAAGTTTGCGTGGTTGCCAAATCCCGTTGGTAAGTCATAGTGGACAGTTTGCAGCAAAGTTAGCTCAGGTTCAACAGTGACACCCAGTATTCCATGTAAAAGGATATCACTATAGCCATACAAGAGCAAAGTGAATGTGTGCAATAAAAATTAATAATGTCTGTCTGATATTAATGAAGCATTTTTCATTTTTGTCAAACCATTGCAATCAAGTTGGGTTGCAGACTTCTGATATGCATTGTGATTGGTGATCCAATCCAGTTTTCAAATTTGAACAAGATTATGAATTTTTTGTACACATGACAGGTTATGCAGCTGCACATGCATGTGAATGTGCACTTGTGACTGTACTTGCATTGTTGAAGTCTTGGCTCTCCAACAGTGACTGTGTTAGCCATCAACTACTGGGGGAACTGTTAGGGCCTCTAAAATTTGTAACATACTTGATACCAAGTTTTTCAAGTTTCTGAGGTGAGGGGTTACTTTATCATTGCATCGGCTTGATGCTAGCAGCCACAGGGACACTCAAGTTTTTTCTAGAATCCCTGATGCCCTTTACCTACTGTGCATTCTTACAGTTCATAACACGTCCCCGGACCCACAGGGATCTCCATTTAGCAGGTTTAGACAGAATGATACACAGCAAAGACCTACAAATCGCATATCATTGTCCTATACATACATACAGATTTCATGTCGAATTTATCATGAATTACCATCCACAATGACATCAACATTATGGTGGGGATACAGTGTGATTCCATACAAGGCTTGATGATCCAGACTTGCAATACAGAAATCCACTTTTTCTCTCTACACGACCCAAAAGAAGGATAATAATTTCTCAACTTGACGGTTTTATCAGCGTGAAGATTATGATGCTTCAAAACTGAGAGAAAGTGTGACCCCATCTTTATCAAACAGAAATAAAAATCAAATCATCATAGCTTCTGATCGTTTGATTTTGTTTTGGTGAAGATTCCTAAAATCCCATTGCTAGACTAATCCCACCACCATGCCGATCCAATTGAGCTTCAGCCAATTTCCTACGTTCACTTAACACTTTCATTTCAATCATTTGATATTTCAACTCCGCCAATGTCTTCTCTGATGCAACCTTGCAGTTCAAATGTGATGCTAACATGCTTGAATTACGAGTGGATCGTAATTTTGCAATCTAGTTTTTTAATCAACAATCAAAAAAGTTAGAAATCAAAATTTCAAAACGAAGGGAAACACTGACCTCTTGTTCCAAACTAGGACAAACTTCGCACATTCTTTGCGCTCGTTCCAAATCTCGATCAATCACTGGCGGTGAAACCTGAACTGTTGCACCTACATGTGGTTGATTATTTCCACTCATCCCATTGCTTCCCACATAATTGCCTCCAACACTTCCATAAGCTTGGGTCGAAGGGTGCAATTTACCACCGGGGTAGTTATTGACTCTGACTTGAGTAGAAGAAGATGCAGCAGGTGTAGCTGTTGTAATAGGGATAGATGGCGCACTACCAGATGATGATGATGACGCGATACCACCAATGCTATCTTTTCTCAACCCCAGTCCATTCGCAGTAATACTAGATTTCGCTATTTGATTGGCAGCTGGTGTTGATGATACGACATTGAGGGTAGGTTGTTTTCCGAATGTTGTCACCGGTGAGTTACTACCGGATGGTGTTGGGATGGGGGTGTTGGAGCGCACATTGAAGGATGACTTCGCTTCCGAAAGCGAGTTGTTGCTGGCCCTCGGGTGATTTGGAGGTGGAGGTGGTGGCGCTGGTGGTGGAATGGTGATTGGAATAGACACTGGAAGTGGAGACATGAATACCTCAGATGCAGGTGTGTTTAGAGGAGGACCACTGAGAGCATCCGCCGAGGGAAATGGTGCTGAATGTGGGTAGTGATCCGAGCGAGGTAAGCGGGTCGAGCCCGAAGTCATACCGGCTGAGTCACGATATGATTTTGGTGAGATATTCTGGGGAGGCTGACGAGAAGATGATAAGGTATCACCATGGTCAGTAAGGGAGGAGGATGGCAACGAAGCTCTGTAGGGGCTTACAGGCGAAGTGCGAATCGAAGTGACGGGCGCTTTAGTCAATTTTTGCGAAGCCCACGCTCTGGGTCCAATCGGTACACCAGCCCTGGGTCCGGTCGGAATACTGGGTGGAATCTTGACTGCTGTGCTACTGTGAGTCGGAAGGGAGCGGGTATGAACACTGCTACTTGTTGGATAGGAAGCACGAGTTGAAGAGTGTTCAACATCCTTGCGAGCCGATGAAGAGATGAGAGTTCTTTCCGATGAAGGGTCGACGATGACGGTGTTTCTCGCTGGCGGAGGCTTTAACAATTGTCTGCTGGACGAAGGAGCCACATCTTCAGTTAGACTAGGCCGCGGAGATTGAGGTGCAGATGGTAAAGAAGAGCGGTCATAGGGCGAGCCCATCATTTTTTGTCTCTTGCGGTCTGTCTCGGATGATTCATGATCATGAGCTCTATATGATCGCGGGCCAGTGGTCAGATGATAGTCTGTTGTGGTTGGGCGGCTGTGATTGTCAGCGCTGGAGGTCAGGTGGCTAGAGCGTTCGTCAGGCGATATACGATGAACGGAGAAAATCGATCCATCATGGTTAGCCTGATGAGCGGACTGCCCCACGACAGGTGAGCCTGAGATGCTGTCATTCTGGACAAGTGAATCTGGGTGAGGAATATGACTTGTTTCCTTTGTCGAAGTATCGGGCCCCGGACTTATATCTTGGGATGGTATTTTCGACACAGCTCGAGCCTGTTTGAGTACGGTCTGTTTGGAGGTTTGTGCATCAGATTCGCGAGTCATATCCAAAGACGAGGCGAGCGCCTTGCGCGTGACTACGTATGATTTTGGGGGGAGATTATCAGTAAATGACTGCACCTTGGCTTGAACAGACGGCGGCGAAGCGGAGCGAGTCTCACGCGGTGATAGTACCGAGGAAGGGGAGGGGGAGCGCGAAAGATAAGACTCTGATACAACACGGGCAGGATGTGTTTGGGTTGGAAGGCTGAGAGACTGTTGGAAAACCTTCATGCGTGATGATGAGGGTAAAGATGTTTGATGTGATGCGGAGAGCGTCGGAGGGCACGCTTTTGATAGAGCATTGGATGGAGATCGGGACTGTATAGCTTGACTAGGACCTGGCGGCGGAGAGCGAGGGTGGTAATGTAACTTGGGAGGGGAACGCGAAGAGGAGGGAGAGCGCGAGCGTGAATAGGGTCGGAGACGACTGGGAGAACGGCCAGGAGGATAAACTGGCAGGTAATAACCTGAAGGAGAGTGTGATCGCGAGGGAGATGCAAGCCTGGCCCGCGGGGGCGGCGGGGGCGATCGAGGCACCGGAGGCACCAGTGAGCTAAGCGTGACAGATGGTCGCTTGGCCGGGGATGGCGAGTGTCGAAGACGGGGTGGGGAGGGAGACCGACGAGCTGCAGAGGTAAATGCATCAATGTAAAGAGAGTGTTTGAAGGAAAACTGGCAGGTAGAAGGTAGCCGAGCAGTCGACTTACATCGATGAGCGTGCCAATCCTCTCTTTTGCGTCTTTCGTACTCCTCTTCTCTACGACGTTCGTACTCCTCATCTCTACGCCGTTCGTAGTCGTCACCTCGAACCAAATTTCTGCGAGGCTCGTACCTATCAAAGTCTCTGCGGTCTAGTGGAGGTCGATAATCACAATCGAGACTCGTTCTGAGGTCACGGTCGTCCCGGCGGTCGTACGGGTAGCCAGGTGGGCAGGCCACAGAAGGCGATAGTCTTCGACGGTGACTAGAGGAAAGGCTTATCCGAGAACTGCCACATCCAGGTGGGGGGCTGCGACTATATCGCCTTGACCTTTCACGCTCCCGATCACGTTCAGATATTCGTTCATGAAGTGGGTACGGAGGGCGAATAGATCGTCTTTCTGTTTCGCGTTCCCATTCACGGTCTCGTCCACGGGATCGTGACCTTGATCTTGATCTTGATCGATGCCGACCCCGATCGCGTTCTCTCTCCCTACAGTCTCTGTCTCGATCTCGATCCCGTGCACGAGATCGGTCATCGTGATACCTTTCGCGGTCATCAAGATAGCGTTCACGGTCATATTCATGATCGTAGTCTCTTCTATGGTCGTCTCTAGGATCATAAGGTCTCCGAGAGCTTAACCTGATACGATCATCGACTTCAGGTGTATAAGATAATTTAGGTCTTGGTGGAAGGAGAGCTTTATTTGAAGGAGATTGATTCGGATTAGGAGGAATAGACTTGTTGATTGGATCGATTGAGGTAGCTTGAGGTAATGAGGGAGTGTCTGCCATTTAGGAAGAGCTAAAGGAGATGGTGTTGAAGGTTGAATTGATGAATTGGTTTGGGAAAGATACAGACCCAGTGTTTCACTTGACCCAGCCATGTCACTCGAGTGACAGGTTACATGACATCGCTCCCAGTTCTCAGTCGGCTTCAGTCTTCAGATCAGCCCTGATGATCATCGTCATCTCAAGTATTTCGCCAAGATCCAGAAGCCTAGACAGATAAACCTGACAGGGATGATAAGCCACAAGATGGAAAAGAAAGACATTCAATGTGTTCAAGTTAAGGGCTTTCTTTGACTGCTGTGTATGATGATTAACTCTCGAATTTGTAACTATCTTTGTACGTGGCCTCTCCTTTCCATCCCGTCGACTCCTTATGGCCACTGTGTATAGATAGACCTGGGCTCTATTCAAATCCTTGAGTATCCTGACTCTGATAGTTGAACTTACTTATGTCTTTCACTGCGCTTGATATGTAGATATTATTCCTACATACTTACTCTGCACTTGCTTTTTGTAATCCAATTCCCCTGATTCACTTTATAAGAGAGATTGTTTTCTTACCCCTGTGATCGACTCATTTTTGAGTGAGCTTGCCTGAAATCTAAAGCTGAACAACCAAGTCCAGGCAATGTGTCTGCCGTTGTTCAGCTTGGTTTCAGGGGAATTTGTCAGTAGACATTTAAAGAAGTGTAATTTCTTCGTGAAATGTGGCACTCTAGCGCCAAAGGTGAGTTGCGGCATGATGTTCAAGTCTTTGCTAATCTCTACCCAAAACACGAAGAAGCCTTTTGCATTGCCGATGTGACTTTGAAACCTGAATAACAAATCTTGATCTCGTAGTTCTTTTATAAAATGATGCAGAGGATCCAACATGTCCATGACTCAATGATCTTTGCTACACTGTGCGGTAACCACTTTCAATTCCAGGTGGAATCGGTCCACGACCATTTTGACGATATCCGACCATTCTGTCATAGCTCCTATGCCTGCAATGAACATATGATGTCACATCACCATGATCATCAGTGAAAACAATCGCGGGACTTTATCGATAAGTGAGTAAAATCAGACCTGTGTCACCGCAGGCAAGAGTTTTAGACACCGGACCTGATACCTCGTAACCTATCTCATTCCGTACAATCCCAATATGTCTCTGGGTTAAAGGATGTTCGTACATGTACGTGTTCATGGCCGGAAATAATATGACAGGAATCTCTTTAGGGTTTGTTGCGCGAAGGAGTGATGTCTGCATAATAACATTTGTGGAATGGCACACTAAGATCAAATCAAACGTTTCATTTGAAGAAAACAATCAACTCACCAGCAGATTATCGCACAATCCTCCCGCTAATTTGGCCAAGGTGTTTGCCGAACATGGGCACACTAGGATCAAGTCGGCCCACCTCCGGAGCTTTTATGGGCGATGCAGATGCGTTGCGGAAGATGACCAAGGATAAGTTTGACTTGTGACAACGATGCGGAGTGTCGATAGATTTGGACCATATTTGCCACGTCATGCGCGGAGGGTTATAAGTGTTATGAAAACAATACCTTCTGGATAACTCGCCTCTATGTGTAATATTGGGTCTGATACTTTGTCCCAGTTCTACATCCAGACGGTATGTATATTGTGCCGTGAATGGATCCGGTGAGAGTAAGAGGTGTGTAAAGTGTGGACCAAATCAAAGGAGGAATGTCAGTCAGTTGGTTCATACGGTGGCTAGGTCACATCGTTCATTGCTGCCTGAAACCGGAAGAGCCCTCCTCAGTTTGACTGCTTACGCTCCATTCGTCAGCGTCTTTCCAGACTTTGACCGGCTCACCGTCTTCAGCCGATACCTTGGTTTCATCATAAAAGTGAAGAGAGTGAGGCGTGGCCACAACTTGTATCTCGATTCCAGAGTACTGCTCCAACGAAAGATAGAATGAGAAATGGGATTGCACGGCAACTTCACCCGTTACCTGGCTTTGCCTCGGACAAGGGGACATGGAAGAGATGCCTACCAATGACAACGTCTTGACAATTAACGGAAGTTTTATGCTTGCGACGCTCCCCGTAGTAGCAATAAGTAGGTGGAGAGGTGTGGATGGCTGATCAAGCATCGCTTTGATTCAAAGAGGGACGCGTTTAAATTCACAAATCTTGATGGTGGCAAAATCGCGCGAACTTACGAAGAATGAAGTTTGACACTCAGACCGCGGCCGTGCAAGCAAAACTTTGTTGACTCGGGCCGCCCCGAGGACAGCGATTCTAACCCGCCAATCTCCAAAGCCACCCGGAAGCCCGCTAAACCGAAGAATCGGCCTACCATCGTCACTCTTTCGCCGATCGCAATCGAATTACAGCTGTTCCAACAAAGATTGATTTTTTTGAAAATCTCGCCAATGTGCAAAACCCGGGTTTTATCCCTCACTTGATTTTGTCTCTCCGCTAATTGGAAGAATACAGGAAATAATAAGCCTGTAATCAAGTTTTGTCTTTGGTTTTAGCCGCTGCGGAGACAACTTTCTCCAAAAAACAGTTGTCAACCTTTCTTGGAACGGCTGTAAATGAGTTAGCTGACGAATTAGCAGGAACAACAGCCGAGAACCAAACTACACCAATGAAACTACCCTCAAGTTTAGGCAGCCTCAAAAAACGAACAAAGGAGAATTTCAACATCAAGAAATACAAATTCATTCCGGGGAAAAACTCTTTTTCCACAAAACCGAAGCTTATCGCAGAAGGCCTAGAGACTCTCGAAAAAGGCAGCGCAGCAGCCATTTTTCAACTCAGAGCGGGCTTCAGTCCGCTTAATGATCACTTATTTAAAAGAAACATCACTGACTCTCCCCTATGTGAAGTATGTAAAACTAAAGAAAATACTCACCATTTTCTTCTCTATTGCAGACGATACTCAAAAGCAAGAAAAGCATTTAGGACACGCATCAAGAAAGAAGGAATCCGGGTTAACTGGAATAGCACCACTAAGCTCCTAGACTCACCAAAAGTTTTCTCATTTTTAGCAGACTTTATTCTCAAAACTAAAAGATTTGTCCATTTTCATTCCTACCTACAGGACCTAGACCATGGAGATCGGCCTCGGAGCAAAGGTGGAACTGTCACGAGATGAAGAAGATTAACATCAAATAGTTTAAAAAAAAATTGCTGATAAGTTCTCATGCAACTGGGATCGATTGAAAAATATCAGAAACAGTGTACTGTCTAATCTCGTTGCAGAGTTCGCCGGATAAAAACCGGCGGGGCAGTTTCTTCATCCTGAAAAAAAAAAATCGCTGATAAATTCTCATGCAACTGGGATCGATTGAAAAATATCAGAAACAGCGTCTGTCAAATCTTGTTGCAGAGTTCTCCGGATAAAAACCGGAGGGGCAGTCTCATCTTCATTCTCTTAAAAGAAGACCACCAGACTCCAATAGGAAGGTGTTTACACATTGGTGTGTTCAATAGCAATTTATTGCAATTAGGATAAAAGTACAATTACAAAGATAATTGGAAAAAAAAAACGAAAGATTAAATAATCTCAACATCGAATGACAGAGAAACCTTTTGCTCCAACTAGATGGCCGAATTCTCCTAGGTATACTAGTCCTCTCTTTTTTAACTTGTTTAGTTAGTGTATCATGCAATCTAGCCCTAAGCACTTTAAAAAAAAAAAAAAAAAAAAAAAAAAAAAAAAAAAACACATCCAGTCAAACAGGCTTGTGAATCAACCTCCATATTGGGCGCAATATATTGAAGACACAGGCAGATTTGTTTACTTTAAAACATATTTAGACAAATAAATACTCCTTATGCCAATGAATCAAAGGTGTATGGTAGTGTGTTTGTTTGTAAAGACATTAATGTACAATCAGAAGGTGAAGGGACCAAGCCTTGAGATAGTGATGGAGGCACTAGTTGAGCATTGAGAGAATTGACAACCAATTTCTTTTTGGAGCAAACCATTTTCATCTTTGACTTCACCTGAAATGCTCCCTTTTTGACTGAATTGGTAACTCTTGTAGCAGATCAAGAGATAGCTGATTTGAGCTTTGAACCTTGGATTTTCTCTCGTGAATTCCCCAGAGTAGCTCCATCAATTATCTTTTGCCTTTTGAGCTGGGACGTTGTAGGATTTCTTTTTGGTCTATCCTGCCATTTGGCATTAGCCACTGCCAATTTATCAGCATGTGCTTGTGAGTTAAGCATGTATGCACAACAGTTGTCTCTCACAGCCCATTGATGGAGAGATTTGTGAATCAACTGAAAATTTTACCTCAAGTGGCTTGCTTCTGAAGATTGAGCTCAGAGTGGTCCCATTTTGCAACAGTTCAAAATTCTTGATGATCTTCCACATATGAGTTTCAGTAAACATATGATGAGGTCAAACATAACAACCGTTTGCCGGGAATGTTTTTTTATAATGTAAGAAAAGATGCCTTGAGTTTGCCGGCAAGTGAAGCAACAAGAGTGTATTTTTGTGAATCAACTTGTTTTTGGTGCAGGGAAGAATTGTCCCAGACACTGACTTGCTGCAGTCCCAAGTTAAAAATTTCCATTAATTAGTGACCAGTGAAGTTCCAATGGATGTTGAGTTCACCAAACTGTTGAATGTTTCAATGGTCAAATGGGGCTGTTTTTCCAAGCACAATTCTACAAGTTCAGGATGACAATTTGAACAAAGGCATCCTTGCATCCCCTTTTCTTCTTGGGGTTTCTTCTCTTTCACATAAAACAGATCATCAAAAGATGCACATGACCAATCCTGTTCAACAGATTTTGTTTTATAGAAAATTCAGTCAATTGATAGCACTTGTTGAGATGTACTTACATATTATCCACTTGAAAGGAAATTCAAAGACACACTGGTGTGATGCCCGGTGCATCCATACAATCATCATCTGACATCTTATAGTGATCAACAAAATCAAATACATGTTTTTTAATCACATATGATTTTTTCAACAAGCATAATTCCTACTCCAGGTCTACAATCCTGTCTACAATGTCAGCGAACTGATAAGTGAGCTATGTCAGTGATCACGAGTGAGACAACAAGATGTGACAAAGTGAAACAAGGAGCAGTGGTGCGAGCAAGGATGAGATGGAATCGGTCTATATAGATTGCAATGTATACCTGATAAGTGAGCTATGTCAGTGATCACGAGTGAGACAACAAGATGTGACAAAGTGAAACAAGGAGCAGTGGTGTGAGCAAGGATGAGATGGAATCGGTGAGGAAAAGAGAACAACAATAGTGAGTGGAAATGTCGTATATATATGTATGATCTATGGTGTACAACATGTGTTCTCAGCCTGAACTGTAATGAGTCATCTATCCCTGCCTAGCCGGCCTTGCTGGTCTAGGCCGCGCCCTGAATGACCAACTGATCCAATCAAGATGGTGGTTGGACTGGTTGAGATGGCGAGTTGGTGAATGTGACTGTTTGAGGATTGAGTGCCCTGGCAGCGGACCAACATGGCAATTCTGACATACAACAACCCACCATCTGACCAAGTACTGATGGATCAATTCTTCCAAGGGTGATGACTTGACAAGCATGAGTCCAATTGCATCCCATTCCCAATGCCATTGTACATGCTATAACTGCCACATCACCACAGCTATAAGCTTCAGTATGTTCCTCTTTGTCTTTGGGGGCAGTCACCGCATGAAATTGACAAACACACAGACTTTTTTTCCAAAGAACCACCCATTCAACTACTTGTGTGCCATATAGACTGCTTGATGAATAGCAAGTGATTCATCTTGAGCATTAGAATGGATCCCGGTATCCCCACCCCCCCCCTTGGTAGCCTCACCCCCCCTTCCCTTTCACAGCTAGTGAAACCCTAACTTACCAGTAACACAAGCTGTGACAGTAATGCACTACAGGCTTTGCCTCTAGCTGTCCTTGAGATAAGCCACAACGCGAGTGCAAAAATATCAATTGAGTTTTCAATCAAACCCTTTACTTGAGCCTCTCTCCGCATCAACTCCACTTTGAACAAACTCAACCCAGTTCAAACCTTATTCAAATTCAACACACAACCTTGGAAATGAACATAGACGAACTCCTGGTCTCATATTCATCCCTACAGCAAGCCGAGGATGCACTACAAAACTACACCAAAACATTTGGCTACTGGCTGAAAATCACCCGAACCTGTTACGATAGACACAAGCAAGCCAAGAAACGTGTCTTTGCCTGTGCTCATGCTGGAACTCCTCAGCTGGTTGAGAGTGTGGTCCGTTCTACATCGAGTCAGCAGCTGGGTTGTAAATGGTCTGCTACAGTCCGACGCAAGCAATTCACTCACCAGTGGAACATTGAACTCACCAATGATCAGCACAACAACCACGAGCCTTCCAAAACTCTTGCCGAGATACCAGCCGCACGAAAGCTTATGCCGGAACAGCTGACCACTGTTCCTAACATGACAAATGCAGGTGTTCCTACCCGACTCATTCTACGTACCCTGAAGGCTTCTGACCCAAGTAACTTGTCTACAAGCCAAGATATCTACAATGTGATCGAGAAACAAAGACTGACGTGCGAATGGTAAGAGGTATGCATCGATGAAAACGATGTGTTTGAAATAATAAATTATCGATTCTCCGTACAAGAAATAATTCACGGCACAAAAGAAATACCTACAAAAGTTTTCACCATGATGTGAATAAAAGATTAATGAATGTGAGAAGTAGATTGGAAGATATCGGTCAAATCTTACCAAGATATCACTTTACTCCATCGGTTATTATCAATATCTTTAATTCGTTTACGTTCGATTGAAGCTGCACTGATTCGCTGTCCACTAGCCAACATGATAGCTTGTGGCGTGTTCTTTGGCTGAGGCTTTATATCCTACTTGAAATAAGTTGGTGACTTCTCTAAAGACTGAGAATCGACAGATGAAGACCAAGACGATGAGATAGACGTGTCCCATGGCCATTAGACCTATTATGTTTCATGTAGATTTTCACGTATCAGTATTATATTAACCATTTTCAAAAAACCAAACGAGGCGTATAGTTTGATTGATGGGTACTCACCTACAAAGACTACTACCATGACTAAACTCCATATCACTCGAGTCAAGACTGCTTGCCATTTCTTTGTAGGATTATGATCGGCTCCATATTGTGCGTCATTTGCTACACCTGTTGGTGTGGCCAAGGGAGATGAATCGGACGTTTTTGACGTTGATGAGTGAGATCTTGTTCAGGTTGCATCGTACTTGGCATTGCCATCGTAGGAGTTTTAGCAGTCTCTTCCGAGTTTGGATTATAGACCTCATTCCATTTTTCAGCTGGATCAATCACCAGAGTCGAATCTCGTTCTGATTGATGTGCTTTTAAATCTTCTGAACCTTCTCCTGCTCTTGAAGGCGCACTTTCTTCATAATCATCTTCTTCATCATCTAGATCGGTACTACTTGGAGAACTAGATAAACTATTGACCATACTCACGGAGCTAGAGCTCGTAGGGCTTTGAATTTCAGGTGGGTGAATGGCGGTGAAGGTGATGGTACTCGAAGTGGTTCGACTGGTTCTGATTTTGGAACTTCATGAAGTGATTCGATTGTTTTTGTAGGAAGAGATGAGATTTTAGAAGTCGTTGGGGTAAGGATAGTTCTACCTGATCGAAGTGTTGTACCATTGATTGGAATGACAAGAGAAGTTGAAAGATCAGTTGGATCAGATAAAGTAGAGGTACCAGCCGATTTACGAGCTCGATCACGAGCACGTTATTTGGCGCGTTCCTTTTTAGTTGAAGTTGAGATGGCAGTAGAAGGTGTTCGATGTGATGGAATGATCGGAGTGGTTTGTGAATCGCTTTCTGAATCTGATTCGATTGATTCAACTGCCACTAAACTCACCATGAAAGAGATTGGGTCAGTATATTATGGGACGATGAGTTGAACGAGAATATCGACTTACAAGCTTGAAATGAACCACCAGTTGAGAAACCAGGTTTGAGTGAATTGGTTTGATTTGATTTTGGCATCTTACTTGATTGATTGATTGGTTGATGAAGTGCTACTTTGACTGCTGAGCTGGTATTTTTTTGACTCTTCCCAACCCTCTTGACCCAAATATGAAAGGTAATACAAAGCTTAAGTACTACTTACTTACTCAAGACTGACAGTCGACGTTAAGTGGTTAAAAACTCAATCAACAAACATTCAAATTTTAACAATTCATCTGGATGCTTTCACCCTTTTGGTATTTTAGTTTCAGGAGTATGTACTTCTCAAGTTGAACGAACTCCTTACTATATCTCTCATATAAACAATAACAACATCTCGAGTGGACTCAATCCATGCAGTTTTAATAGCAAAACAAACCATTACCCATCTTCAATGACCTATGTACCCGTCATGTGTTTCTGACCGTGAAACGCATCCAAAGAGAAGATGGAAGGATTTGGATTAAGAGCTGTGAGGTTCAGCTTAAGGCTATCAATCAACTTTTGCTTCATTCATACGACTCTTGATTGCACATTGGATTGTTTCCATGTGATGAACACGCCTGAATACGCATCAATAAGAAGACAGCTCCGAGATAATAGCAAACGGAATTCGGACTCCGTGTGATCGGAAATCTGAGCGGAAAATTCTTTACTTCCTCTCAGACTCGTGTATACTTTGTCGATGAGAGAGAGCTTTCAACAAATCATTGTCCTACTCATCTAGCGTAGGGCTGAGATTTTTTCGATCATCTGTGAATCGGATAGAATGCAGATATTCCGGGGAATGAGAGACCCAGTACAAGATACTTCAGTCGAAACTCACAAACCAGTCAGCTCAAACTGAACAATTCCTTACAAGCAATGTTGTTAATCGCATGAGACTTATACTTCTTTGATGAGTAACTGAGCTGTGCTAAAATACAAGATATGACCATTCCGGGTCAAGGCAGATGTTGAAGCTTTGGAATATCTTACCTTCTTTTTGGATTTCTTGAGACCAGAAGATTGATCACAGTAATCTCAATGATCATGACTCGTTAGTCTAATCAACAAAAGTTGATTTTGTTTTACTAGCCTCGCTGCGCTGCTTGAAATCATACTACTTCATCAACATTGTATTCAGTAAACCGAAGTGTACGAATTTAGGTGAATCTGAAGCAGAATGTGCCCTCAGAACGTCCTCTTCTAGCCTCAGTTTGGAAGTTTGGTACAAATGCGAGATACCGGACTGGACGCTGAGATTAAATCGATCCATTTCAGTTGATTAGCTTTGAGGATATAATTTGTACTACTACACCACCAGAAATGCCACACAAAACTCCGACTCAGAACGTCAGAAGATCACACGAATCTTATATTTCTCCAAAATAATAGGAAACTATTTTAAGACATACACGTTTTCCCCAGTTTTTGTTCAAAGTAGACCTTGAAACTAAGATTAAGTTTGTAAAACTTTACCTTCTTTTCTTCAGAAGACAGTATCGGATTACCAAAGCCAGATGTCTGATAAGAAAGTCTTAAGTTGTCAAGAAAGGCTTCGTGAATTTATTTCTTGTTGAGTAATCTGTTAGAGCTGATCATTTCGTTTCAAAAACATTCATCTGATCAACTCAATTGGTCTGGAAAGGCTCGCTACGTGACACAAAACCAGGGAAAAACCAAGTACTCTAATGTTCAGGACCTCTCCATCTTTTCCAGTTCTTACGAACGATATTATATCTTATGGGTTCCTGGTGGGGTCGGGATGCGAGACAGTCGTACCTTGAACAAATCTCTCATGGTCTTCCTACCGATCTCTCTACTGCTACGATGGATCGATCCGTTCTGAAAATTGTACGATAACTCCAATCAACGATGAAAGCTTTTCTGGCTGATGAGAGGAGATAATGAATATGGGGAATCCAATCGTGTTCCGGGACTTGAATATGAACTTACCTCCAAACAAGTTGTGTTCGTAATGTGGTCTTGTATTATAAGTCTGACCAAAAGTCGTATACAAACCAAGTATGAAGATCAATTGAAAGTGAGGGTAATTGATTTTTATACTTTAGTAAATTGCCCCTGTCAATCTCGACTACCTGTTACCGCGGAATGCTTTAGGGCCAGCCATCTGACCAAGTTGATAGGTCCAGAAGCTACATATGCACACTTTCTCACCTATTTCATTTGGTTTTCATCATTTGTCTTATCGAAAATATTATAGAGAGAGTTATAGTGATCAGGCAAGGCGGATCCCGGATAGATATCATGTACTGCTGAGATGCTTAAGCTTTGCTGAAGTAAAAGGTATGGTGCTTTTCGCGCGATCTTCGGATTTTGGACTATTCAGTGAATCTCCTTGTGGATATGAAGCTGAATGAAGCGCGATCTACGATATGAATGAAAAGCATCAAAATAGCAGAAGCAAAAATATCAAAGAGAGAGTTATAGTGATCAAGCAACGCGATCCCGGATAGATACCATGTACTCCTGAGAAATTTAAGCCTTGCTGAAGTAAAAGGCATTGTGCTTTTGGCGCAATCGGCTGATTTTGAATTATTTGGCTAATCTCCTTGTAAATATGAAGCTGAATAAATCGTGGTTTATGATATGCATGAGAAGCATCAGAAAAGCAGAAATAGAATAGATTTTTAGCCTAGCTACGCGACATTCATTGAGATCTTTGAGAAATCAATGGAAAGCTATTGGACCCGTGAGAATCGGAGATGACTTTGATCTTCAAAACATTTTGATCTTCAAAACATGAGTTGAATCTGGAGATTGGCAGAGAAATGAGTCTTTGCTTTTTCTCAAGACAGTCGCCACAAAGGAAGGTCCTAGCTGTAGACAGAGGCAGGTGAAACCCTCGCTCGATCAGAGCCTGTTTTTCAACCTCTGAGCTCAAAGATTTTGAATTATCAAAATTCATCAATAGAGTGGATTGACGCAAGTTGGAGGTGGGTATCAACAATTGACGTAGAGAAGGGGCAACCATATCACCGTTATCACATTATCTTCCTATCCGACACAGACTGATCAGCTCGTGTCAATCAGTACATCTGTATTTTTTCGCGTGTATATAAGCTTTATGATCCAAATAAAAACAATGACTCACGTGACGCGCGTTGAAGCTGATCCGGCAACTCAGTATCTGAGCCGTACAAATACCGTTCATCTTTCAGAGCGATCCGAATTTCACTTCATCATCCGTACCACCAACTCCCGATTCGATTCCTCCAATCCCCCTTTCACTTTTCTTTACCTTTCACTTCCAATCTCACTTAACAAACTTCTCCGATTTCAAAAATGTCTCTTCCCCAGTTTAAAAAGATTTCCTTTCGTGATAGTCTTCTCGCTTTTCCATTCTATTTGGTCGTTGCCTTCTGTCTTCACGCCGCCTTATTAAACTTTGGTCATCTCGAACTTCATCCTGTCACCAACTTCTTCACCGTCTTTGTCTTTGACATTATCTTTACCACCTTCACCTTTCCTCTCTTCTACTTTCTCTACTCTTCCTTCATCAATTTCTTATCCTGGATGATGGATCGTCGCTCTCGTAACCAAGATCTCTACATTCCTCTCCATCGATTTTATCCTGCCATCTCTCCACCTATCGCTTGTTTATGGGCTCCTTTGATTAACGTTACTCGTCCTACTGAACCTCCTTTGACCAACCTACCACCACCTTTTCCCAGACAGGACCCCGACTTTCTTCGTACTATCTATGAGCCTCGTCTTAGAGAATATGTACCCCCAATTCAATTATTCGAGGTCTCTGAATCATCTGAAGTCGAAGTATCGAGGCCCTTTGTTCTATTCGACCTCTCAGACACTACCTCTTCACCATGTATGTCTCCTTCCCCTTCCCCTTCTCCTTCTCCTTGTCTTTCCCTTCCTCTTCTCATTTGATCATTTACTGATTTGTTTGATTTTGCTCAATTTCAATTACAGCTCAATTTTGTGCGGTGAATGTAGATGAAAACATCTTGGGCTTTGTTCCATTGAATTGAGGTGAGCACTTCTTCCCTTTCATTCTTATGAGTTGCGTACTGATTTCTTTCCATTTCTTCATGATGTATAGTTTGATCTTAACTATTTCACATCCTCTCATTGTCTCTATTCCTCCATGTCTCTGATCTTTGGACATGAGAATTAGCGGATCCTTCCGTCTTTGCTCGTTCACTTATGGAAGAGCAAGATGACTACGCCATATGTCCTGGTGGTGAAGGAATGCACCAGGATGATAAAATTGTAATCAATTTCTCTCTAGATGAACTTGTTCAAACTGCGTGATCAACTTCTTCACGTACACTCCTTGTCTTTATTATTTTATGTGAAACAGGTTTCATCTTCTCTCAACTGTCAATTGTTTCTGAAAGATATACATGTATTGGTTTTTTAGATTTGAAGATATTCACTGTGCGTAGCTAGAGTATCATACCCTCAAGAAAGCGTTTTTTCTTGTGGAAAGTAAACTCCCGCCACTGGAGCTACGCCAAAGTCGTATCTTGCC